CTGGCGCGCACGCCCCCGTGCAGCCCGCCGCGCCGCGCTCGCCGCTTGCTGAATCCGGATTTTTTCTTCCCTTTTTTTTTTTTTTTTCCCGAACTGCCTGGAAAGCCGGGGCGTCCTTGCGCTTGGGGAAAGCTGCTCTCCTACCAGCCGGTCCTTCGCACGGTTTTGTGGAGCGCGGTGCGGAGTTTTCCAAAATGCCTGAAGCAAACTATCTGTTGTCTGTGTCTTGGGGTTACATTAAGGTGGGTTAAATCCTGAAGGATTATAAATGGCTGTTTTAGATACTGTATTTCTTGGATAAAAATCTCGATGCGGAAAACAAGCTCTCTAAGTGCTTATTTGTGTGTACTGTATGGCCAGGGACTAACCTAGGTGTGGGCTGCGTATGCAGCATGCATGGATGTTAATTATTTTTTCCCCTTCGGCAATTCATTTTTGCAGGATAAAATGATACTGCAGTAGAAATGTGTGAATAGAGAAGTAGGAGGATCATATCGTGTATATCTGGGTGAAAAAGTGCTTGAATCCTGCATTTTACCATAACGATGCAGGCACATCTTCAGGTTGATGGCGTGTTTTTCCTCTGTCGTGTTCTAAGCATATGCAGTTATTTTTCACTTGCGTGCTTCAAAATGGAGCAAACTTGTGTTGTGAAATCGAGAACAAAAGAAGGTTATAGGATGGGGAATTAAACCAGTAACAGGCTTTGATGGTTCAGCTACATTACCTGAAACATTATCTTCTCATTTGTTACAGTGAAAACTCTCATGTATCTTTGGAGGAAATTCATTTTGTAGCTTAATATACTGAACAGAAATATCTAGTCACGATGGTGCTGAATGGTGTCTAAATTAAACCATATGCTGCTGTCTCTGTTCCAAATGTCTCCTTAATTTTGCTTGTAACGTCCTGTTTGCGGACTCGCTTGTGATTCAGTTAAAGCTGTGTTAATTTAGAAAAGCACTGAGGAAAACGCGCTCTTTGTGTGTGTGCTTCCCCTCCCAGTTCAAGCGCATGCTGACCCGGGAGCTGACCCACCTCTCCGAGATGAGCCGCTCCGGGAACCAGGTGTCCGAGTACATTTCCAACACGTTTCTGGGTAAGGCGTTGCAGCCCGGCTGCTCGGTGACTCCAAGACAGCAAGGAAAGGCGGTCCAACCCCCAGCGGGCTCTGCGGGTGTCCGTTTCTGAGCGCGGGTGCTGGAGGCAGAGCGTTACGAAAAGGTTCTGGTTTTCACTTTCGCGATGGATAGCGGAGGAAAAGACTTAAACCGTTTGAATAAGTGTATCCCCAGAAGACTTCCCTCCCCAAATCAGGAGATTTCTCCGTTCCGGTGGAATTATCCTATTGTCAGTGCGTTTCGGGATAGCCGATTTCCGTCTTGACCTTCTGAGAAGGACAAGGTCACCCCGGCCAGCGAGCGCGCCCATCCTCGCCCCAGCTGCCTCGAAAGCCGCGGCTGCCCCCTTCACAGCCGAGCGGCTTCAGCCCAGACATCGGAGATATTATTTTGTAGCTATTAGTTCCCTTTGCGCTGCGGAGGCAGAGCCCGGCTCCAGAAACGCGTACGAAAGGAGTATTTCTCCTGCCGTTAGTTCTGCTGGAGCTGAGAGGATTATTGACATGAACTGAGTTCAGATTTCTCCGCATTTACAAAATACGTGAATTAGGAAAAATATCATTTGCTGTATTTTTCAGAATTGGTGACTGTTTTCATTAAACCAGGAGGCTTCACAGAGGACCCTGCTACGTGCCTGAGGCCAACAGCAGCCTCCAGCGCGGCGCGTAGGCGGGATGCTGCGCGCCCCGGGTCGAGACGCCCCGAATGCGGACACGCTGTGACAGGCGATTATTTCCGCTGGGGGATTTTTAACGTGATTTCAGTGGCCCGTTGCAGCGGGGCCGACGACGTGCCTTTAGGGCGCGTCGCGTCCTGAATGATCTATGTACGAGTTTGTAGCCGCTTTTGTCGGAATCCGCTGGCCCTATCTGATCGTTCGGCTTCATCCTGACCTCCAGGACGGACGTGGCCGACGCTCCGCAGGGGCTCCCGCTCCTCGGGCAGGCCGCCAGCTGCCTTTGCCCCTGCGTCTCGCCCGGCGGCTCGGATGCTGCCGCGCGGGCGGGTGTCCCCCGCCGTTTCATCCCCGGTGGT